TGTGGGTACTCCCCCTGCGCGCGCCCGGAGCGGGGTGTTGAATATTCAAATTCGTGCGCAGAATGCGGGGAGGCGCGGCTCGCAGGCTCAGGTCCCGGCCGTGCGCGGCGACGGGAACCAAAGCCGGGCGGATCTGCGTGTCTCCTCTTCATTCCCGGCCGGAGCTGGCGGACCCAGACGCGAGTCACACATGGTCTGGGGGCAGCATTGCTTCCAGGCAGGGCAGCAGTGCCGTGTTAGGCGACATGCTACGTTTATGGAAAGAAAATCCCTTCTACATGTTTTAAACAGGACATCTCCAGTAAGCAGAGAGGTAAATTGAAGGAGTGCTTCTGATTTCTTGAAACGCCCGGGTGCCGATATGTGCTTTAAACTGCATTACTTCTAGGATTACAACAGAAATGTTCTGCAAAACGACTTAATGCATTGGTGTCACGAGGGCCTCCCTCTCGAGAATGTAAGGTATTTTCTAAGACCGCAGTGACGGAGCAGTTGCTTTTGAAGGTGGTTACAAGTGGCATTTCCCGATTTCCAGTTCTCAGTTTTCAGCTCCTCTCTGCCCTTAGGGCTTCCGTCTCTGCCTTGGCGATCTTCCTGGCAACTCCAACTCAGCAAATCTGAAACAATTCATTAGGGACTTAGTCATCTCAGTCTGTCTATTTGCAATTCAAGAAGTGGATCCCTCTCCACCAGTCTCACCCATCCCTTCCAACCCGTAAAATATCAACCTCAGTAGACAATACAAGGAAACAGGAAATGGAACCGGGATCCACAGTGGCTAGCCTTTTGCTAAAGCAGACCTGCTTTATGCTTGCTTTACCGTAGCACGTTTCCTGTTCCTCGAGGGCAGGTGTGCCCCATTTCACTCACCTCTGTAGGTTGTACACAGTCTTTATGGGATGCTGGTGCCGTGCAAAGAGCTTTCGTTCCAGCCATTATCAGTGTAATCAGTTTTGCTATCCTGGTGTGTGATGGCTTCCAAACATAAAACAACTTTTCTCCAATCACTGCTGTTTTCCATCCCTTAACTACACCTTGGTGATACTGGAACTTTCTGGTCAATGTCAGTTACTGAAAATCAGAACGTGTCAGAGTGGGACCTGAGATCCTTAGGGTGAGAAGGGGCAAGGCATGGCTCTGGCTCTCAGACACTTCCTCCATGTTTTCTTCAAGGCCTGGGTGCTGTATTGAAGAGAGTATCCCTTAAATCAGGGGTCCTCAAACTTTTTAAACAGGGGGCCAGTTCACTGTCCCTCAGACCGTTGGAGGGCCGGACTATAGTTGAAAAAAAAACTATGAACAAATTCCTATGCACACTGCACATATCTTATTTTGAAGTAAAAAAACAAAAAACGGGAACAAATACAGTATTTGTATTTGCATGTGGTCCGCGGGCCGTAGTTTGAGGACCCCTGCCTTAAATGGCCAGTGCTGCAGTTCTCAGCGGATACCTGCTTCTCCAGATAACTGGCCCTTGTTTGAAACTGCTTTCATGGGGCACATATAAGAAGGCCTCGTGGTCCTTCTCTCCATAGTTTTAATGGGAGATTCAGCCCCAGCTTGATTTTTTTTCCCCATCATCATTGCCAGCACACAGCAGTGCTATCCCCCGTCTCCTGGGTGAGGGTCCAGCAAGACCATTTATCTTCTCCAGAGTCCATGTGACTCATGAGAAATACACATTCTCGCTGCACAAAAAGCTGGACTGGAGCGTGCCCCATGGCCTCTCCTCTCCATTCTGTGATCTTGTCTTTTTTTTTTTTTTTTTTTTTTAGATTTTTTTTTTCCTCCTTGACTTCTCGCTCCCTCATCCTATATAATAAAAGGCTAATATGCAAATCAATTGAACGGTGAAAAGACCTGTCACTATGAGAAACAACCTATCACTATGATGCGCACTGATCACTACTGTGATCTGGTTCATGGGTCGATGCTCAATCACTGAGCCACACCAGCCGGGCTCTGTCTTGAATCTTGCTCCCTCTTGGAATACAGATAGGAATAAATAGCAAGAATGCCGACTAGACACATAGGCAAGCAGGGGATGGAGCACCAGCCTCTCCTTCCAGCAGGTCCCGCTGATAGGAGGAGAAGTCATTTTACAGCCTCTTCTCCATCACTTCCCACCAGAAACACTGTACTCTCCCCAAGGCCAACTGCCTCCTTTCATCCCTCCCCCTGCATCCTTGTAGAGACTGAAAAGGAGAGGAGGGGGGAATGTTTGGTGGAAACAGGGCTACATCTGCATCTTCTTACTAAGCCTGCGGCAAGTCGATGGTAGACACCTTTCGTTAGAAAACAGGGTGCTGTGCCTGTTGCTTTCAGCTGTAAGCTAGTGCTCCTGGACAGTAGGTCTCATTGAAGGTCTTGGTGGATGCTGTGATACTCCCCCAAGACCTTTATTCAGGACTGAAGGCCATGCTCCTGAGCTGCTCTGAGGTTGGTCTCAAGAGCTTTCAGCTCAGTCATTCTTCAGAAACTTACCCTCAGCTGAGGATAGCTGCTTTGCTCAAGATCATGGTCCCTTCTAGAGGGTCAAGCCACATCTCATGAACGTAGTCAACATGAAGACCTCTCCTCCTCACCCGAGTTTGGGACAACTCTGAGGGACAGTTCCAGCTCCAAAGGTCCCTATGTTAATATCTGTTGTGCATAACAGATTACCCTCACGATTAGTAGTTGAAAACAGGAAACATTTACTATCTCCTGGTGTCTGTGGGTCAGGAAAGTAGTTGCGGCTTCAACCGGGGTTCTTGCTCTTGGTCTCAGTTGGTTACCGTCAGTACGTTAGGGCCACAGGCATGTGAAGGCTTGGCTGGGGCTGTAGGGTCCACTTCCAAGATGGCTGTTGGCTGGAGGCCTTGGTTCCTCACCATGCGGGACCCTCCACTGGCCGCTGCAGAGGCCTCTCAGTGTGGCAGCTAACTTCTCCAGACCAGGCGATCCCAGGGCGAGAGCCAGCAGGGCCGTGTATGGCCAAGGCTCTGCCTTCTCATTCACTTTTCTTCTGGTCATTAGAAGGGAGTCACTAAATCCAGCCCACACCCAAGGGAAGGGGAATTTGGCTCCGCCTCTGGAAAGGAGCATCAAAACTGAACCACTCCACTCCCATTGGAGAACTTTTTTACGATCGCATCACAGTTCAACCTTTCCTTCTGCCCAACCTAACCCAGCTTCCTTCACCCCCACCCTCCACACCTGTTGATCTGGAGAGCACCCCTAATGTACTTCCTCCACTTGGACCTCTACCTCAGGCCTGCCTCCTGGCAACCCAGCCTGCAACACCAGCTTCCTGACTGACTTCTCTGAGCCTCAGTTACCCTCATCTGTAAAGTGACCTTATAACACCTCCATCTCAGGGAAGTTGACAGGATTCATAGCAGCTCATGTGTTTATCAACTACTTGTGGGCCAGGCACTGCCCTAAGCATTTTGAATGTTTTAATTTATTCCATCCTCACAACAATTCCCCTACCTTACAAAAGGAAAACACTGAGACACAAAAAGAGTGCCATCCCCACCCAAGGCCATGCCACAACTAAGTGGCAGCCACCCACGTTGATTCCAGTGCTCACATGTGCAATCAACAATCACCATGATACATGTGTGTGCACAACAAACACCTGAACTTACAGCAAGGGCCACAGGGTCTTCATTAAAAGACTGAGTAGCCTTAGCCGGTTTGACTCAGTGGATAGAGCATTGGCCTGTGGATTGAAGGGTCCCGGGTTCGATTCCAGTCAAGGGCACATGCCCAGGTTGTGGGCTTGATCCCTAGTATGGGGTGTGCAGGAGGCAGCCGATCAATGATTTTCTCTAATCATTGATGTTATTTCTCTTTCTCCCTCTCCCTTCCTCTCTCAAATCAATAAAAATATATTTTAAAAAATAAAAGACTGGGCAAAGGACTGCCAATCAAATGTAAAAATCAAGCAGGGTTACAATGTTACAGTCAAAGGTGACTTAAAAAAGGAACCAGGGTTATTTTATCAACTGACTAGAGGCTGGTGCACAAAAATTCGTGCATTCTGGGGGTCCCTCAGCCTGGCCTGTGCCCTCTTGCAGACCTGGAGCCCTTGGGGGATGTCCAACTGACAGCTTAGGCCCGCTCCCCGGGGGGAGCGAGCCTAAGCCACAGTCTGGCCTCCCTCTACGGGAGGCGACCTGTGGGAGGCGCAGGCTGGTGAGCAGCCGACCCCACCCCCCAATTGCCCCTCTGCCACCACCAGTCGCTGCTGGGCCACCCCCTGCCATCGCCGTCCCCTCCCTCTGCCCACTGGCACCCACTTTGGCTGGCGTGGCACCTCCCACTTGCTGGCCCCGCCCCCTGCCGACTGGTCATTCCACTGTTCGGTCGATTTGCATATTAGGCTTTTATTATATAGGACTAGAGGCTCAGTGCACAAAAATTTGTTCACTCAGGGGAGTGGGGAGGGGGGTCCCCCAGCCCGGCCTGTGCTCTCTCGCAGTCTGGGACCCCTCAGGAGGTAACGACCTGCTGGCTTAGGCCTGCTCCTGGGTGGCAGAGAGCAGGCCCAATCCCTAAGTGCAGCCCCTGGTCAGGCTCAGAGCAGGGCCGATTGGGGAGTTGGGGCGCCGCACCGTCATGCACAGAGCAGGGCGGATCGGGAGGTTGCGATGCCACCC